GTTATGGAAGTTATTGATGTGAGGATGGCTGTTCCTCACCCCCACTGACACTTGAGGTCAATGAGAGGGAATTTTTGCATGTGTGCTAGATCTGATCTTGGTGCTGTTGCCAGGAACATGGCATTGGGTTGAAGGATACCAGATACAGCAAATATAACCCTCTGGCCACAATTCCACTTTGTTTTGGGCATTCTGCCAGCATATCTTCACTGGCAGAATAGTTCTAATAGGGAAGTGTTCCACCAACATAGCCAGGGTTTTCCGCTAATGTATTTTTTGTGTGTCTGCAGAATATCTTGTATTGTATCCACATAGCAGTCATTCTGCCAAATCCTACAGCTCTTCGATCAACTGATCTTCAGTACACGATTGCAGTCTTAGAGCACAAACACACAAAAAGTGTATGAAAAGACTGAGGAATTCAATATGCATATGGCTTGAAATGTACAGGCATTGCCAGATACCTTTGGAACTAGAAAACAAATATGAATTTACCTTTAAGTAGCTCTTAACATTTCAATACTTCATAGGATTTTTATGTTTCAGTACAAGGAAGAATAAAGTGCCCTGTCTATATACATTGAGCTTTCCACATTCCATAGCATAATCTGGTGCCAACATTTTTGTCGTGTAATTTACATAACTAGGGGGGTGGGAATATCACCAGACAGATCTGGTAATGCAATACCTGAACATTCTTTCCTTCACAGATCACACTTGCCTGGGCTCTGCTCATTCAAGGATGGAAAACTGAACTGGGACCAAGGAACGGACGTGTGCCAACGCAAACCATTGGCTGCATATCCTTCCTCTACCTGTGTGCACATTCCTGATGCCCTGAAAGATGAACACACCCTGCACTTGCAATATGCTGAAAATGATCTCTGGCGTCCTGAAGCTGAAATGATTGAAGTGGGGTTGAAAAGGCAAAGGAAAGTCTTCTGTTAGCTCTTTGTTCTGGGAGCAACCATCTTCCCCTCTGCACACAACTCAAGTTTAAAAAGAATGAAAGAAATCTCCAGAACAAGTGACATTAAAATAAAGGAAGGACGGCTTTCCAAGGAAGGCAGGATCAACAGCCAGGGCCTTGCAACAGTCCTACTGTTAGGAAAAGTGAGGTGGCTGCCTCAGGCACCTGAATTTGGGAGTCATGAAAGGGCAGGAAATAGTTAGTTATTGATATTACTATATTTTGACTCCCAGAAGGTGCTTGTGTGGTTTTTTTTTGCCTCGGGTGCCAAAGTAGTCCAGCCTCGAATACAGCGCACATTGACTTGGGCCTGGGCAAGAGCGATGCATTTACTGTTCTGCCTTGGGCAAGAAAATGCCTCTGTAGTAACTGTTATCATCCTCTTGGGAGCATTTGAAGCACTTTCACAGAATTATTTCAGCAATTTCCACTATAACTTTGTACAACAGGCACACAAGAACATAGGAAGCAGCTTCATACGTCCAAGTCAATTTGTCCATTTAGCTCAGATTTGTTCTGCTATGCTGTCTGGCAGCAGCGCTCCAGGGTTTTACTCAAGGGATATTCTCAACCCAACCTGGAGAGGTTGGAGATTGAGTCAGGATATTTCTGCAGCGAAAGCAGATGCTCCGCCACTTGACTCATGTTGCAGTACAGAACCCAAAGTAAGAAATTGTAAGGTAAGATTTGAGACATAGTTGCCACCATAGATGAACAGTAAGGTAAAGGTAAAGGGACCCCTGACCATTAGGTCCAGTCGTGGCCGACTCTGGGGTTGCAGTGCTCATCTTGTTTTATTGGCCGAGGGAGCTGGCGTACAGTTTCCAGGTCATGTGGCTAGCATGACTAAGCCACTTCTGGCAAACCAGTGCAGCACATGGAAACGCTGTTTACCTTCCCGCTGGAGCGGTACCTATTTATCTACTTGCACTTCATGCTTTCGAACTGCTAGGTTGGCAGGAGCAGGGACCGAGGAGGGAGCTCACCCCGTTGCGGGGATTCGAACCGCCAACCTTCTGATTGGGAAGTTCTAGGCTCTGTGGTTTAACCCACAGCGCCACCCACGTCCCTAGATGAACAGTAGCCTCCTTTAAATGTTCCCATTACAGAGGGAATCCTCTTTTGTTTATTTCAAGCATAATGTCCAGGGCATTTTCACAGATTCACAACAGTGGTAAACAGTGATTTAAGTGAGAGATCCTCCCCTACATTGAAGAGGATACAGTGGAACCTCAAACTTAATCCATTTTGGAAGTCCGTTTGACTCCCAAAACATTCGAAAACCAAGGCGCAGCTTCTGATTGGCACAGGTGCCCCGTAAACAATAGCCAACAGCCACATCGGATGTTCGGCTTCCGAAAAACGTTCAAGAACCGGAACACTTACTTCCAGGTTTTCAGCTTTCATGAGCCGATTTGTTCGTCAGCTAAACTGTTCGAGAACCAAGGTACATTTCTGGAGTTGAACATCAAACATTTAGGAAAGGGGGAAAGGTCCATTCATACAACACAGACAACAATTGGTAGCACAGAAAGTACCAGGCAGAAAAGGAAAAAGGAATGCAAGGTGGAGAGAAAAAACTAAAGTACCCCAGCACTAGCCCTGGTTCCCTCAGCAAGATACACAGCTGCATAGCCAAGAGAGGCGAGCATCAATTGCATAGCTAAATGCAAGCACAGAGAGGCAAGAAGCACCATTGACTCAATAGAATATGCCAGACTAAGGGCAGAACTGGCATCTCCAGATACATCAATGCTTCCATGTGATCCTAGTTTGGTTGTGAGTCTTGGCACCCTTAGGGCCCTAGAAGGAATGGTAGGGAATGCTGTCAGTCTCAACGCAAAGCTTGTCACCACATAAAAAGATCTTAGTGATAAGAAACCAGAAGCTGAAACGAGAGGTACAAAATTGTCTCCAAACCTATGGAGGCATCCTCTCTCCCCTAGCAATCATGTGCAGGACCATATTTTTAATCACACTGCCTATCCAACCCACATTTTAAAGTGGCGTTTGATGGGGATGCAAAAATGCTTGGCCTTTATCTGTAATGCCACTGGTACACATGACTGACAGACCGTAGCCAGGGAACCAATATATGTAGAATTTCAAAGCACCATTTTAGTGGCCACAGCCACTACATGTGACTTTAGTCACATACAGCGGGTATGTGAATCAGCTGTAAGCGTCACAGGCATGAAAAGAATGACGTTTCAAGAGAAATGATCAGGAATCGTATGTGCTCAGTAACAACAACGACATAAAAGATTTACTTCCTGATCCTGAGGAGGGAGGGAGACAGCAGACTTTGCATTGTGCAACATCTTAGTATAACTGGACCTAGAAAAGGGTTGATTACATTGACATGAGAGGCACTTCCTGGATAGGTGGAGATTATCCAGCTTTCCTTATCTTAGCAAAGTTCATTCTTCTCATTTATTTTTGGCAAATCTGCCAAAGAAATTTTTCTCCCTCTTTTATCTGAAAATAGCAGAAGAGTAACCGATTCACACACTTCGCCAGTTTGAGAACTGTTTTCCCATTCTAAGCTACTGCACTGATTGAATTCATTTTATTCTTTCCCTTTCCTCAGCTTATAAAGAAGATATTTTGTCTCACTTTAAGCATAATCAAGCTTGCGCTTTGCAGAACAACTTTACCAAACAGCTACACAGGAGGACCATATCTACTGTGGGAATAACAAAACATTGTAACGAAACAACAACAAAGAGTCTGATGACACTTTAAGGGCCAGCAAATTTACTATAGTATAAGCTTTCAGAGACTTTATCAGACGATGATGGTATCAGATTACACTGCTGTATCTGATGGTCACAGTTCCTTTAAGAGATACGCCTTTCACTTTAATATATCTGCAAAAAGTCACCTCCCCCTTGGAATCCCTTTCCCAAACACAACATCCTCAGAGCTTGTCCTGTTTGGCTTGTAGCCTTTTCCACCACCACCATGGGCAGCTCCCCCTCCCCAGAAAAAATCAAGTAAATAAATAAAAATAATTAATGCAGGACCCTAGGTCAACTGGGGAAGAGTTGCACTCCTAGTTCATCAGCATTTTTCTGAAATACCCTCCTCACTATAAGGATGTGGCTTGGCTGCATGTATGTACATTTCAGCACATGATTCTCTTTCCAAAGCGGTTTACCCCAACACTCTAATTCCAATGAAAACCCCACTTTGCTTCAAAGCCTTCCATGTGCAGCCCTGGGCGTAGCTGCCCTCCACCCCACCCCCAATCAAGTAAATAAAAATACTAAACTGACCAATCTCGCCACAGATACCTTGGTTCAGCTGCTTTTGGGTGAGGAAAGGGAGCGTACTGGTAGGGTACATTTAATTAGTTAATTAATTGCACATACCCACAGACATTAATACCTGCATTAAAGTGTTGCTGGGGACTGGCGTGTCATGTCCGGGCCCCTAGACAGGAGAGGAGTGGGGGGTGGGGGAGAGGGAGGGGGAGAGAGAGATAGTGTGCGTCTGCAGTTGCTCACTGGTGAGGATGGGGCAGGCATGCACTCTGCACGCGACCAGAGGCACGTTGCCTCGCGCCTGCTTCTCCCATCCCTGGGCTCAGTCCTGCGACTGGGAAAAAAAAAAGAGATTTTTGCCGGGGCTGAGCTTTGCCACAAAATGCCGTTAAGTTAAGCCCGGCAGTCAAAAAATAAATAAGGCTATCGATTCTACTACACCTCCTTGAAAGTGTCTGTCTCAAGGAACGCGATCGAGCGAGTTTCGTGGCCAGAACATCCTCTGGCCCTTCCTTCGGGTTCCTAAGCAGCAGCAGCAGCAGCTAAAACAAACCGAAGCCGCTTCCTCCTTCCTTGTGCGGAGTTCTCCCTCCGCTTGCTCCAGGTGGCTTTTCTCCCCTAGAGGGCGCGTCGCAGCCGGCCGAAGGCGCCTCCTTGGCCGCGCTTTGCAGGCTCCATAAAAGGACAAGAGGCGGATCGCTTACTTTCTCTCCTTGAGCTCCGGATTGGAAGGCGGCGGGGCATATAAATCCGGGCAGGGCGGAGTGAAACAAAGCAGTTTGCAAGCAGCCGGACCTGCTAGGAGGGAAGGAAGAACTTCAGAGGGGGCGGCAGCGGCAGCAGGGGGGAGAGAGAAAGGACTTGTCGAGCGCACGGCGGCGAACCGCGCGGTTTCTTCTGCTTTTCTTGGTTTCTGCTCCCCATCGTGCCGTTTCGTTGGTTTTGTTTGAGAGAAGACGGGGGGAAGGGCTAAGGACACCTCAATGAAGGAAAGAAGAGCCAGCCAGAAATTATCCAGCAAATCGATCATGGATCCTAATCAAAACGTGAAGTGCAAGATAGTCGTGGTTGGGGATACCCAGTGCGGGAAGACGGCTCTGCTGCACGTCTTTGCCAAGGACTGCTTCCCGGAGGTACGTGTGGACCCGCTTGTCTGAGTTCTTGGAATTTAGCGCTACGTGGTTCTTTTACGAAGTGGAGCGCTGTGATTTCTTTTTGGTTAAAGTTAACTTTCAGCGCTATCTGTTAAATCTGTGGGAAGCCAGTTTAAAGCGGGTGAGACCGTTTTCACAGAAGAGATCCCAGGATGCTTAACCCCCCCCCCCTCACAGGAATCACACAAAAAAATAAAAATTAAAGACGACCTCTCTCTCTCGTGCCCTATTGTGAGCCACGCGTGGAATGCGGGATAGAACTCGAACGTTCTTTCTGCGTTCGAATTAGAGACCCATTCACTGAGGCAGTGCCGGTTCAAGCCTCGCGCCCAGTGGTGGTAGAGGGAAGCGCTTAGATCTGTCCGTATTTTATAGGTCGTGGGTTTCAGCGTCGCGCTGGAATTCACGAGCCCATCCCGCTGGTGTAAGTTGCCTATTTTCAAACGCTTTGTTGGTTTTCAGTGAAAACGGTCCAATCCCTCAGTAGTTAGGAAATGGTTAAACGATTAAGAAGGGTGAGGGGCCAATTTAGGCTGAAATCTCTGTGGTCTCTCCTCTCTCCCCCCCCCCCACTGAATTTACAGGAAAGATGTGTTTGATACGCGGTGCAAACTTTCAAGAGATGGTAATCTGCTATTTGTGTTTTCTCCCTTTCCTTGCCCAGAACTACGTCCCCACCGTGTTTGAGAATTACACGGCCAGTTTTGAAATAGACACACAAAGGATAGAACTCAGTCTCTGGGATACTTCTGGTAAGGGATTTTCTTGCTCGCAGGAATGCCTGTTCTGTTTCCATGCCATTCTGGTGACTCACATTGGTTTGTATATAATTACAAGCCATTGCTGTAGCCTCTGTTGTTAACACCCTGCAGATGATGTAACTACTTGCCTTTTAGTTTTTTTTCATTTTACTTTAATGGACTTTAATGCAACCTGACTCCTTTCCCTCCCTGCCCCCTCTTTTTAATTGCAACTATTTCTGCATTGTGGTGAGACTGAGACAATTGTATTTACCTAACTCCGCTTCCCTAACTCCCCTTCCCGGCTTGACTCTGTAAAGGTTCTTGGGATAATTAACTGAACAGATGGGAGAGGGTTATTATGGCCTATCATGAGCCTTTCATTTTAATATTTGTCGCCGCTGCTGCGAAAACCAGCATGTGTTCTCCTTTTGGTAATATGTGATTATACAGAAACAAGGAGCTTAGCAGCTACACAAATGCCTAAGTGTGAGAGGATGTTTTCCTTGCTGAGCCGTGTCCTCACTCTTCCTCAGGATCTGCTTCTAAGTGTTCCAAATATCCCCCCAAAAAACCATGCATAGGAAGCCTTCAACTGAGCATAATGAGAAGTAAAGTTACTCATTGGAAGTGTTTGGCTGTAAAACCAGCAGGGGGTGAGAAAGCTTCTGAAGACATGGAAGTTAAGGGAGTGAGAAAGAAAAACTGGAGTTTGGTAGTGGTTGTGATGTTCATTGATTATGTTGCCTGTTTGTAGGTACAGTAGGTATAGGAGACTAGCAGCAGATGAAGCGTCTTAATACCATTAATGGTATCTTAATACCATTGGTTGATTTCTCAGTATTGTCTGCATCAGTGTTTCCCAAACTCTGGTCTCCAGCTGCTTTTGGACTACAATTCTCATCTTCCCTGAGCACTGGTCTTGCTAGCTAGGGATGATGGTTTTCCAGCTGTTTTGGATTACAGCTCTCAAGTTTGGGAAACACTGGTCTACATTGACTAACAGGAGCTCCTGGGGGTTGCAGGCAAGAGTCCTTCCTGGCAACACCAAGGATTGAACCTGGAACCTTCTGCCTGCAAAGGCTGTCCTCTGTTGCTCAGCTGTGGCACTTTGTTTCCCAAGTCTTGTTTGATTAAAGAAAGCAGTGTTCTTCTACTATTACTCCAGTACCATGCTATCCACCTCCTTTCCAAATTGATGGCTGGCCACGTAGTTCAAGACATTATTGCCTTTCCTTTAAGAGTCACAGCCACGGTCTTGTAGAACCTTGATTTGGGGGAAACTGAAGAAAAAGTACAACTTGCTTGGATCAGCTAAGAAATCCAGTTTTGAGGGACAGATGGTTATTTTCTTCTATTGCAGTTGTGGCCAAGTTTCATAATCTTGGGAACCACTCCAGACAGTAGTCTAGAGCGGTTTTCCCTAGCCTCGGGTACCCAGATATTGTTGCACAGCAATTCTCATCATCCCTGACCACTGGGCCATGCTGCCTTCTGCTGACTGGAGCTGTGGTCCAAGGCTGGGAAAAACTAGTATAGAGGCTGGCTCCATAATAATAAAGTTAGTCCCATTTAGTAGCATGAGCCTCCTTTGTGGAGAATAACATTTAAGCATGGCATTACATGGAACAGGGTCACCAACATGGTACGCTTCACACATTGCTGGACTCTAACTCCTGCCATTGCCGGCCAGCATGGCCAGTGGTCAGGGATGATGAATCCAGCAGAATCCACAGGTCACCTTGTTGGCTGCTCCTGACATAGAGCATCCAAAAGGGAGCTTTTTGCACCTTTTTACAACTTGGAAAGGTTCTAGGTAGGGTCACTAAGATTATAATGGCCTTGGAGCCATATCTAGGATGCCAGTTGGCCTTCCCTGTTCCAGAGGATGCTAGTTCTGGGCTGTGCTTGGTTTATGGTGGAAATGAGTGTATGGGAGTCATCGTAGCCAGTATCTTCTGAAGTTAAGATGGGGAACATGTGGTCCTCCAGATGTTGCTGGACTACAGTTCCATCATTGCTGGTTGTTGGCCATGCTGGCTGGAGCTGGTGTTGGTTGGAGTCAGTCCAGTAACATCTGGAAGGCTGCACTTTCCCCATCTGTTCTCTAAAGACTTTTTTGGGGGGAGGACTTGGAGCATATAGTAGGTTCCTCCAAATAGTGCGCTCTCTCTCTTAAGGACATAATTTCCCATTCTTGTGCTGGTTTATATGAATGTGTTAAGTTTTTGGGTTTTTTTTTAAAGTTCCTGCAGAGATAATCCATTGGCTGAGATGAGGGCTATAAAGCACTGTGCTTAATGGGGGAGAGTTAAAATCATCTTTGTTCGCTGGCGTTTATGACAGATTAAAGAACACTCTGTGGCAGAGTGCAAGAGGGCGACCAAGGAGAGGGAGACAAAGGAATGTACAGGGTGCTGAGAGCAGCTAGCAAGGGAATGTGAGCGCTGTCTCTTGTCACTAAGTGCAGGAAGGGAGCAGACCACCCAACGTAGAAGCCATCCATCCCAGAGCAGAGAAGCAAAATGGAGCTGGAGAAGATACCCCCCCCACACACACTTTTTACAGTAGAATGAAAAGCACAGTTGAATTACTTAATGGCTTTTGCAGTAACTTCAAGAAGTGGGCAAGATTTATTTTATTTTACTTGCCTGCCAGTAGCAAGAGCCTAAGCACAAAATCTGCTTGTGGCACACAAAGGGCTGTCCTGTGAGGAAGGCACGTCGAAGGCGATAAAAGGCTGAAGTGGCAAGACTCTGCTTGTCTTGTAAATCTGGCAACACTTGTACAGCTCTTTTGAAGAAACCACAGCTAAGCTCTTTCTGCCTTAGCAGCCTTAACACGAACATTACTGCTGTTGGCATCACTGGAATGCATGCTTCCAGATGTGGATGACAGCTGTGAAGGCTGGCAGTTCTGGTTCTTTTTCATTTTCTCTCTCTCCTACAGGGGAATGCTTGCTGCCTTTTTCACTCTTCTGTGATAAAGCCAAATTAAATTCCTCTCTTTCCCCCCCCTGCCTCCCATTGCCTTAGTAGGAGAATGAACATGAAATGAAGAGGGAGCAGCAAAGGAATTAAAAGGGGGAGGGGGAATTTATCGCATCTGCAAGACTTTATTTCTTAAATATATTTGTTTGTGCATGAGGACTGACATTAATCTATGCTTTTTGTATCTTGCATAATGGTCAGAAAGTAAAGTCCCATTGAACTCAATGAGACTTACTCTATGTGAATATGTATGGGATTAGACTGCCATTGACATTTGCTTGCTCATTCCTTCAGAAGTTTGCCACTGGGACTTACTCAAAGTGGATTCTTCTGCCTATTCCAAACTTAGTTATTTATTTACATTTATATTCCACTTTTCCAACAAGGGTTGGTTCTATCTCTCTATTTTATCCTTACAGCAACCCTGTGAGGAAGGTTAGATGGACTGACATTGACTAACCCAACATCACCCAAATGGATGAGTGGAGATTTGAACCCTAGTTTCCCTGGCCCTAGTCTAACACACTACCCACCACACCATACTGGCTCTGGGATTCTTTCTTCCTGGGCTTAACATGGACCAAGGCATAGCCTCACATTCTAGACAGGATATGAACATTGATTCAAAGAGGCCTTCAATATATTAGTTTGGTATTTTACAGGCACTTCTTAATGATCTGTGATTCAACGTATTGGTTATTTATCAAAATACAGATTTGGACACCTAGTTATCTGGGCCTCAGATCTTATGATCTGCCATCTCTGAGTTTGTTTCCTGGTTGTACATTGTTTAGATAAGATCAGCTGTAACTGAGTTGAAATTATTACTGTATGACAGTTTCTTAACCCTTTTTAAAAGACAGGTCTTATTAGTCTAAGTCAAGATCTGGGCTTGGCCTCAACAGTCCTCATTTTCCAGTATGGTGTCATAGCTTAAGTAGGTCAGATCTGCAACAGCTGAGTTGGTTGCAGAGGTTAATGATGAGCAATATAGTGTGATATTTTCCTATCAAAGACAACTGGGGACAACTGTACTGGAAGTGCAAAATAGGGTAAAACAACTAAGCTATTCTAGATGGTCTGTCTGGGAGGATTTGCATTATTTAAAGTTTTGGCAGCACTCTTGCAATGCTTTTATAGAGCAATGGGACAAAATAAGATAATTTAAACACATGAAAGATAATATTGGAAATCCTACAGTTTTGTGACTACAGAATGTCTCTACTGTAGAATAACCACACACACAAATAATGACCCACATTTAATGATACCACTTAGGAAATACTATTTTTTTTTTAGATGCTAGTTTAATTTGATAGTGGTATTCCCAAGACATTTCCATATGAGTTTATTAGTCTCCAGTGTTAACCCTATTAAACAAGTATATCTCCTTTAAATCATCACCTGTCTTGCATGAACATTTCTGAATGTTTAGTGTTTCCCATTAACTGAAGTTAATTGCTGTTTGACTTTAAATGCATCCATTTGGAGAAGTAATTCTGGTCTTACTGTAACTGAGGTCAACAGCAAAGATCCAGAAATTAGTAAACAAAGACAAAAATCTCTTTAGGCTTTGCCCTAAACACTTGAATGGCAATCCATAGACTCCTTCCTCCAGAGCAGCCTTTCTCAACTTTGGGTCTCTAGATGTTGTTGGACTACAACTCCCATCATTTCCTAGCCAGCATCCTAGTCATGGATGATGGGACTTGTACTTCAAGAACATCTGGGGGTTCGAGATGGAGAGACGCTGCTCTAGAGAGTCAACCCTGTGGAAGCTGTGATATCATTCTGGGTCTATCCCAGCTAAAATAGACAGGCGTCACTGACGCTGCAAGTTGCAATAAGTTGAATGGTTTGCTCTAGCCTTCGTCAACCTGGTGCCCTTCAGATCCTTTGGGAGTTAGTCTAAGGCTGGTTTACAGCATGGTGACCACATTTTTAACAAGAATGCCACGCATTCTGAGAGTATGCTACTCTATAGTATGTTTGCACTCCCCAGCAGTTTGTTTAACTTCTAGTTTATCAAGCTGGGGAGCAGGCAGTGTATGAAAGTCTGGTAGAAATGCAAGCACACATCTCTTTGCCATAGCCAGGCCTAGGGTCCTTTCTGCAATAGGGTCCATGTTTGTGTCACACTCTTGCTGCCTGTGCCCTTGTGGCACAGATGGATCACTTATGATATACAAAACGATACCTACAAAATCTAAGAATGACTTTGCAAGATGTTTTCATTCTGCACCCCTGAAATATCTTGACTTTTCCTGGGGAGGGTATACTGGTATTAAATCTTTAGATGGATAAATATTTGAGCATTGCACATTAAAGCAATTGGACTGGTTATGTATCTGATTTCCACCCTTTCCCCCCTTCACAGCAGCTGTGGAATAATTTGCAGAAAATCATATATAATTCTGTAGTCTTATTATATGGCATGCAGCAGCAGTAAATGAGCTCATTTTTTTAACAAGATCATTTCAGAATAATATTTGGCTACTCGTAGCTTCTTCAGGTCCTGTCTAATGGAATCCATAAAGACAATTTACCTGTGTCTGGCTTCTGCTGAATATCCTATCAAAGCTGAAACACATATTTTATCTTCCCTCATTAAAATTTGACTCTCTTACATAACTCAAATTTCATGGGTGCATCATAAAACTGTGAAGCAGTTGCAGCCATCTTGTGGGCTTAACTATATATCCCAAATACTTCATGAATTGCAGAATATCAAGGAAACCTGAAAATGTGGACTTGGGATGGACGTTCTCAACAAGAGTATCAAAGAGTGGCACAGATTCCCAGTGAGTTGAGCTTGCTGTGGTTCTGAGGCTCACTGTGTGTCTTTCACTCTATATAGATCAGACAAAAGTGTCTGATCCCCTGAAGAGTTCTGTATAAGTTCCAGAATGTTGGTGTACCTCATAAAGAGGGTGCTTATTATTGACAAATGAATTAAACCCTGAATTGCATTCTTCCTCTTGTAGCCTTTAGTAACTGGTTACTCAGTTACCCTGAATCCAGTATTCCTTAGCTGGAAATTACTAGGATCTAACTTTAAAACTTTCATGGAGTCAGTTGTTGGAATGTGAGAAGCCTTACTTAAGAGATGGGTAGCCTGTGGTCCTCCAGATTTTTTTAGGTTCCAGCTCCCAACATCCCTGATTATGGGCCATGTTGGCTGGGGCTGATGAACAATGGAGTCCAACAACCTTTGGAGGGTAACAGATTCCCCATCCCTGCCTTACTTTGTAAAACAAATACCTTCTACTTAGGGAGAGCGACTTCCAAGCACTTTGAATTTAACTTGCAAACTTCAGAGATGAACATGCAAACTGATAACTTGGTCAGCTTAGGACATTGGTATGGGACATGCTGAGGCAGTCTTTCACCCCGGGGTCATGGGCAGATATCTGACACGAAGATCAACCACAAGTTACTGCTGGCTGTCAGTAAGTCTGATCTGACATTAGTCTGTAACAAATGGTAGTGGCAGACTTTTCTACTGTTCTAAGTGATAGTGTGATATTTCAACCTCTCTCATCATCAAAATCATTGCCGTAATCAACCCAAAGCCTGCATGAGGGGGAAAACACCAAGGAATCCTTGGAGTTGTAGTTTGTGGATCCTAAAAAGTGTTAGAGATTATTAGTCCCCACATAGAACAACAGTTTACAGAGCCCTGGCAGATGGGGAATTTATTGTTAGCAAACAAGAAGTCTGTACTTTGAACAGAGATCACATCAGACATGATGCAATAGAATTACTCAGTGAAAAGCCACATAAACTTAAGCCAAAACTTTAGGTTATGCTGAGTCGGCATGTCCTTTTGAGCCTGGTATCGCCACCAACTTACCAAGCAGTGTGGACAATCTTTACTTCCAAAGCTCCATTTTGACAGGAGATCTTGTACCTCCTTTGTGGTCCTTGGCTTCCTTTTGGCAACTTTCATGCAAGGTGTAATGGCAGAGTTTTGCTCATCTCCTATCTTGTTATGGGATTATAAACTGCATTTTTTGAGTGTTTAGCTGCTTTAAATGTCCACATGGAGTCAGGCAAATATATACTTTTACACAAGTGGCACAGGCTTACTTTGAAGCATACTTTTAGAGTCAAAATCCTATCATGGCATTCCTGTTGCTCTTGTGAGCTTCCTATTGACATCTGATTGGTCATTGTGAAGACAGAATGCTGGACTAGGTAGGACTTTGTTCTGAACCAGCGGGACTGTTACCATGTTCTTATGAAACTATACTCACAGTTCCTGCAAATTTAGAGGTGGCTAGAAATCAGCCTTCCCTAACCTGGTGTCCTCCAATGTTTTGGATTCCCAATTCCCAGGGATGGTATGGGTTGTAGTCGCAACAACATCTGGAGGGCACCAGGTTGCAGAAGGATGAAAAAGGTATGCGTGTGTGGTATACATTTCACAAAATCTGGATCTGAAGCTTTGTTGGAGTCACAGTGATTTTGTCAATCTGCTCATTTTCTTTAGTTGAGCATGGTTTCGCATTTTCTGAGACCATCTTGGAGAAAGATTGAACAGAGTATGCTATTGAGCTGCCTTGAAAAGGGTCTGTTTAGACTTGACATGCATTCCCAAGATTCCTCAGGCTCTGAGGATTTTGTTCTGGTAAGGAGATTGGAATGATGAAATGCCCTATTGAATTCTATCTCTCGGCTTTTGTTCTGAGTGGCTGTCTTCTTTGGGCATTGATAAAGGATCCCACTATTGCTTGTTTGAAAGAAGAGAGAAAACACATTTCTTGTGAAGCATCTGAATTCTGCACACTCTCAAAGGATGCACTTAAAGCCTCCCATTCATTCCCTTGCATTCTTTCCCAGAGAAGAATGGCAGCTTGTCTCATTTATGTGAAAGCTTCATATACTTGTCTTAGCATGCTGCATTGTAATAACAGGAAATTTTTGTCCATAGTAAGTGTAATCACAGATCCAACTGGTATAAGTGCATGCCATACGTATGCATGTACATATATGGTGCGATAGACCTCTTGAGGAGTGGTGACTGAGCACTTAGGTATGTGTCTAAGGAATTTTTTTTCCTGGGTGAGGCTCTTCACTCTTCTCTTGAGCAAGCAACGTCTCTGTCCAAATTTTAATGATCCTTAAAAGCAAATGCCTTATCCTGCCCATACCTGTTTCAGAATATTCTGATGAGAAAGGAGGGTGGCAACTATGCCTAGAGCTAAGTGATAGCTGTGGGTGGAAATTGCAATGTGATCTACACCTGCCTAACACTCTGAAATTAGTAGAGGTCATCTAGCACATGGAATGCTGCACCAGGGGCCAATCTGGTGCGGTAGATGGAGCACTAGAGCTGGAGGAATTGCTTTAAAATCTCTGCTTGCCATGAAATTCTTTGGTTGACTTTAAGAGATGCATAAGAACAGGAATTTGGGGACCTGTGGCCCTGCAGATGTGGTTGGACTATAGGTCATCTTCACTCTGGGCCATTGGCCATGATGGCTGGGACTGATGGGAATTGGAGTCTAACCACAACTGGAGAGCCACAGATTCCCAACACCATATATGTGGGAACATAAGCTGCATCAGACCAAGATCCATCAGGTCTTTGGGAAGCTCACAACCCAAAGACAAAAGCTTGTAGTCTGTCCTCACCCCTGTATCTGGAATTGAGGAGTGCATGGAGGTTTCAGTTAGTTACTTATTAAGCCATTGATAGTGAATCAGGTGACAGGAAATAGCACCTCCAGCCTGAAAAATCAGATAGCTAGTGCCAGTCAGAGTAACCAATGCCTGGCTAGACAGACAAATTATCTCATGTCCTCATGGATAATGTCCACTTCCCTTTTCCCAATAGTAGCCTCATCGGTAGTAATCCTCATGGGGGTTTGTAATGATTAAGAACTCAAAAAATAAAATAAAATTAGCTTTCATAGACAGGTGTGGGCAGATGGACTTCTGCATGTTTTTCAAGAATACCTTACAACAGGGGTAGCCAACACAGTGCTTTTCAGACATGGTTGAACTACAACCTCCATCCTCTCACCCCATTGGCCTTGCTGATGGGAATTGGAGTCAAATAACGTCAGGCTGCTGCCTCCGCAATACAGCTGTCACTTGGCAGTACTGCCCCAGTAATAAAATGGACCCAGGCCCATTAGTTCCCTGAGAAAGTATGCCTTTACCAGTGTTGTCCAAACTGCAGCCTGACAAATGTTGGCTCTTGGGACCCAGCCCAAAGGTTAATGGCTGCTTGCAGAACCGATAAGAGAGGCTGTTTCACCCATTGCCCGTGCCTGCTTAGACAAGGCACATGAAATCAGATATTGTGCTAGGAAAAAGGAAATCTCCACTTCCTGCAGAGGTTTAAATAGCCTGTTGCACGTTTAACTCTTGTGCTGAGAGATGAGCATTACGATAGGTTTCTGATGCACTGAAGCTATCAGTAGCAATACACAGGCATGTGATTCGAGGCTGTGGAGAATCTGGAGGAAACTTTCAGACTGAGCAGACCACCTTCTGTTTGCCAAGGCTTCAGCCCATATGTTCCTGTTTGCTTCAAAAGCAGCATTCCTCAAATTCTTTCCTTGTGGTCTTTAGCTGCCCAGCTGGTCTGTTTTTTGAGACGAGTTCCTTTTGCTGTTTACCTTACTACACCCTGAAACAGCAGGAGCTTCTTTTGCCAGGAGGAGGAACCTGCACACAAGCGTCTTCCTAATACGATTGCAGTGCTGTTTCTGTACAGCCCTTGAAAGCACTGTTTTCATTTCATCCATTTAAATCTTGGAGATTTTGAATACAACCAGCTTCCCCAACTCCAGTGGGTGAACCTGACCTAACACACCTAATGTGTTTCCAATAATCCTGTACATAAATAGTAAACTCCCTTCTCCCAAGTGTGGATTCTTGTGCAACCAAAATGGGCAGCACCTCACAGGATTGGCAGGTTATGGGGAATTCCAAAGTTGGGAGAAGTACAAAAAAAGTGTGTGGGAACCCCCAATAATAGTCCAGTGAGGACAGAGCATGCTCAGTGGTTGTGGAACAGTGACTTTTCAGAGGAAAAAACTGGTGGTGGTGCAGGAATGGAATCTTCTTCTTCTTTGGCGATCACTTATAGCCGAGTAAGATTCTTCAATTCGAGTGCTCGTAGGCCAGTGTGTCCCAGTTGTCGGTGTTTATACTATATTTTATAAGATTTGCTTTGGGAGAGTCTTTGAACCTCTTTTGTTGACCACCAGCATCCGCACAACATGACCCGTCCAATGAAGTTGATGTTGAAGAATCATTGCTTCAACACTGGTGATCTTTGCTTCTTCCAGTACACTGGCATTAGTTCACCTGCCTTCCCAGGTGATGTGTAATAGCGCATCCTAGAAGATGACATGGTTGGCAGGAGCATTTTACGCGGTTGCAGGTCCCACCTGAAATGTTGATAAGTTTGAATTCTGTTCCTCTGGATTCCTGGGAGAGAGCTCTTGGTCATTTAAAATAATCCATAGAGTTCCTTAAGAGATGGCCTGTTTCAGCAAGCTCTTTTGCCTTGCCAGAAGCTGCCAAAAAGGCAGTGGCGCTCAAGGAGATGCTGAATGTAAATACCAAAAGAGAAATCCCCTCTAATTAGCTGTTACAGGTTCTAGCAGTTCATTAAACTGTGAGAGCCTCAAAGATCTAATTGATATTTGGTGCGGATGAAGTTCCTGATGTAATATATTCAGAGGCTATTAATAATTACATATAAATGTATTTTGCCAGACACCATGGGACCTATGTGGGCTGTGGCTGTGCGTAACAGTGATGACTTATTTATACTGAGTCTCCGCAATGTTTGACACACCAAGCTGAATGTGGCCCTGATATCAGTGGTTGCTGGTCAAGATTCTTCTCTGCAAGTGAATTATAAGTTGCCGGGAAGCAGCCGCAGGACCTTGTGGGCTTCCCAGAGGCATCTGCTTGGACACTGTGGGAAACAGGATATTGAATGAGATGGACCACTGGCTTGATCCAGAAGAGGTCATCCTGGGATTAAAGGGATCGTGACCCTTTAAGTTCCAGGCAGGCAGCACAAATAGGAGGCTTATTAAGCCATGGTGACCGCAGTGTATGGTTGACTTGTTGAGTCAGAGGCTGTGCAAACCTGTCTGTGCACTCCTGCAACTATGCAAACAGCTCAAGGCAGGGAAAGGCATTTTTTCCTCAGGAGGGACCAATCTCCAGGTGTGTTGCCTTGTGTTGTTGCCTAGATGCAGGTAGTTAACCCTTGACAAGATCTACCAATTATGCGGGTACCAGTGTGGCTCTTCATAGCAAAGGCAACTACTGCTTTTCCTTGCATACATCTTTTCCTTTTGCTGAAGGTGATAGATTACTGGTCTGTCTTACTATTGAAAGTGGTTGTATAAACACTAGCATTTTGCAGGAAGCACATCTGCCCTGACTTGGAATGAACCTAATCACATGTGCAGGTCCAACCCCCAAGCAGATTCTGAAAGGTTCTGGGATAACAACTGGGCCTAACTTACATCTGTAGCTACTGATACAAAAATTAGGCATGATGTTGCATTGCCATAGTCCTTCTAAATCAGTTGTGGGAAAGATTTCACCCTCTAGATGTTGCTGAACTACACCTCCCATTGGCACCAGCATGCATGGCCAATAACCAGGGATGATGGGAGCTGCAGTTTAGCAAAATCTGGTGGGCCAAAGGTCATCCACACCTGTTCTAAATGGAATAAGAAAGCACTGTTTAAAAAAGAGATTTTACTAGGTGACCTTGGCTCAAAGTTAGGAGACTGAGGATCCTTATTTTCTAGCCATATTATGCATTAATAATCCAGGCTCATCAGAAGAGATTCAGATTGTTTTGACCTTTGAATGGAAGCTCAGAACTGCATCTGTGTAACTCATTCCTTTTTTTTTTAATGATATTTATTAAGCATTTTAAAGTTACAAAAAAAACAAAGAAACAAAGAAGGAAAAAAACAAAGGAAAAGCAAACAGCAGTCAAACCATACAAATCAATAAAAAAAAAACAAAGACAAAACACATCAAAATCCAAAAAACAAAAGTAAACCACAAACAATTAAAAACAGATCCAATATTCCCAAATCCTTAACTGTCATTGCCTTATTTCATCGACCTCCTCAACCCTCCCTTTTTTGTATTCCAGTTATTAATTATAACAGCAAATCCTTCCCATTTTTCATAATATTCTGTCATTAAATTACCTTAATCTATTTTAACCTTATCTTACTTTAAAAGACCCTAAAACTTAAAACTTAAATCTTATTTATACCAATTTCTCATAACCATAACATATTCTTGCATAGTTCTTTTTAACATTTCTGCTAAAGCCAAATAGTTTCATTCCAACATTTTTCTAATACTCATTAATTTTACAAAACAATCCTAAATAGAAATTTTTTAAAAAACCTTCTTCCAATCTTCCTCCAACGTCTCTTCCTCCTGGTCCTGGGTTTTGTCTGTCCTTTCTGTCTCATCCATTTAGTTCATTAACCTGGTAATCTTATGTCCGAGGCCCTTAAGTCTCTTCCGTGTCCCTTCTGCAGATCTTCTTCATATTTATACCTGTACTTTACTTTGTCTCCTGGTCCTTTCACTCGTGGAGACTCCAACTTGACAGTATTTTTGTCCCTTCTCAACAGATCAGCCCCTTTTCCATAATCCACACTGAACTCCATGTGGTATTTAAAAGCATGTTTCAAAGTCCCTCCAAAGTTGGGGACCCCCACAACCCCAAACTCCTCACAGCCCATTGCCAGACTTGGAAATTCAAGACATCCCTGCATAGGGGGGTCTATCCAGCCCCCCCATCTCCAAGCCCAACAAAACTCTATCTCTCCAAATCTGGCTTTTTCCAAGTTCATTTGTCAAATCCAACAACTCATGTTCCTGCTGGGCCACAGCTCCGTCCATCTCTGCCACCCGAGGTCCAACAACGATCTCCTCCCTCATCTGATCTGTCAGAGCACACTCCTGAGTTGATTCCTGGGTGGGTTCTATATAGATACCCACTACCTGTCCAAAATTTCTAATCGCCACCGTCATCAAATCCGTCTTCTCATGTAACTGTTCCAATAAAGCACTTGTCTTACAGAAAGCACGCACCAGAGCCTCTGAATACATTGTTATGCAAGGTCAGAAGTCTGTTCCCACGATCTTAATCTGTTTGCAGCTGCGAAGCTCCCCAGTTCAAGTTTAATAACAGTTTCACAAGCTCCCTCTAGGGGAAGAACTTCTATTTGTATCAATCTCTTTTCTTTTTTTTTTTAACAGCAGATCTAACAACAAAGTTTCCTTTTTCAGATATTTTGTCAGTATTTGTTCCTTTAAAATGCGAAAGAGAACAATGGAATCACTATGTTTCTCTTCTTTTAACTATCTGTCAAAAACATTTGTCTATAGTCAATGAACTTCCTAAAAACATCTGTCCTGACATCCCGCTCCCAGGTTCAAGACGGTGGAAAATTACTTTTCTTTACACTCTCTCCTGCAAGTTTAAACCATCCGGAAAAAATCCCCCCTCTTCTCCTGCTTCCGAAGGGGGTTCAGTAGTTTTAGATGATGAAAGTTGATCCTTTACAAACAATTTTCTGAACTCTAGTTTGCCATGTCTTTGCTTTAATCTATCTACAAGAAACGGAAGGCTGACTTCCTGTTTAGACCTTCCCACTTCAGTGCCAAATTAAGAAGAATTTCTAATCCAATTTTCCCTTCTACTCACAGATCATTGTTTAAAGTCCAATTGTCCAAGTTTGATCTGCTCACGGGTAGTTGTTTTTGTAACCAAATTGTCCCAGGAAAAAGGTAGCACTCTCCGGCAACGGCTGTGCGGCTTCGCTCCACGGAAGAAGCAGTTGACTCTCAGCACCGCGCCACTAACCCCTCTTCGCTCCGGAGCCCGTAGTTGGGTTCCTTTACGGATTGGGGGGGCGCAAAAGGTGCCCGCCGAGTCTCATGGTCACAGGCTTCCTCCGCCTGTGATTTTTTGAAGGGTCCCCGCTTCGCCGTAGCGGAACAGATCCGTTTTCAGTGGAGCCAGTCCCTCCGGATCAGAGGGAGTCCGCCATTACCGATGGCGCCACCCCGGAAGTCTGTGTAACTCATTCCTAAGTAGCAGCTCAACATGTGCATCCATCACTGATGCACGGATTGGCCAGAAGGAAGCCTTACATCAGTGTGGGAAAGGCCTGCGTGGTCATGGTTTGACAAGCATGGTGATCTGCTATACCAAGCTTTATGGTAGCCACCACATATATGGTGCCGATTTGTTTGAAGCTGACCTAAATTAACAATAACCTACTGAGGATATGGAGCACTCTTGTTTCTGGCAGGTGGTGAGATCTTGAAAAAGTGAGGTGAGGAAGCAAAGGGAAATATAGCAGAGGCATGGATGGAACACTTAGGGTGCGTCATTTAACTGTGTATACATAATGTTTCTTTTCCGCCCATAACATGATCTCACTTATTTCAACAGGGTCTCCTTACTATGATAACGTCCGCCCACTTTCCTACCCAGATTCCGATGCCGTCTTAATTTGTTTTGACATAAGCCGTCCAGAAACACTTGACAGTGTGTTGAAAAAGGTAAGTGATGGAAAATAACTCTAAATGTATGTGCAGAGCTAGGATATGTCACTGCTGCCATCTGTATATATGATCTTGAAGTGTAAAAGCCAGGCTGATTATTGCCGCACTCCCAAGTATTATGCAAACCAACTGAGAAGCTAAAAAATATTAGTCCATTACTCCCCCAGGTTTCAGGTGTGTTGGCCCAGGCAAGTGTTGATCATGGGGTAAAGGTGGCTTTCACTTCGAAATCCTTCTCTAAGGTTTAGATTCAAATCCTATAGCCTGCTGTACTGAGGGGGATTCGGGCTCTAGTACCTTGGGAAGGAACTCTTAGCTCAGTGGGGCAGCATGTGATTTCCTTGAAGAAGGTCTCTTGATTCAATCCCTAATTATAGACTTTTGGCAGGAGTGGAGAAACTGCAGCCTTGCACATGTTGTTGAATTTTAGCACTCATCCTCCCTGACAGTTGGCCATCCTGGCCAGGGCTGATGAGATTTGGAGCCCAATTACATCTTGATGGCTTATAGGTTTCCCATCCCTGACACACAGTTATATGAACTCCCTGGCCAATGGCATTTGGATAGGTACTGCAATAAGAGTAGACAATATATAGGGCCAGAATGGGGAACCAGTGACCTTCCAGATGGATTCCTAATGCCCATCATTTCCAGCCGGCATGGCCAACAGTTACGTATGATAGGAGTTATAATCTACAGTATCTACAGGTCCACAGGTTCCCCATCCCTGATAAGTAGTTAGATGGAATCCAATCAGTTTACTTTGCAGCTTCATAGTTGAATGTATATTGACAGGATGCACAATTATTGGCATACTGTTTTGATCAATATAATTAGTATTCATGCACTTAGCAAGTGAAAAGAGCCAATATCCGCATGATCCTTGTTCAGCCATACAAGGAGAAGATTTCTGGTCCAGACCTTAATTCCTAAAGTCAGACTAGAGGCCAATTCTTCTTTGGTGTGCCACAGTATGAAGACTGACTCTGCCCATTGAATTGAATTGTTCAGTAGTGATGAGTGCGCCAATCCTTGCTGATTTTGATTTAATTAGGAGGATATCCACCAGAAGCTCAAAAGTAATATATATATACTTCCTCTGGGATAGTATGTTTCTCAATACCACTTGGTGGGAATTGCAGGTGGGCAAAGTGTTGTTGCACTTAGGTCCTGCTTGCATTCTTCCCATAGGCATCTGGTTGGCCACTATAAGAACAGGATGCTGGACTAGCTGGGTCTTTCATCTGATCCAGAAGAGCTCTTCGTAGGTTCTTAGTGGATGACCAAGAGGTCATGTGCATAAATGGAAGAGTGCCATGTGTGGATGAGGCTCAAGTTAGATTGCTGTCAGGAAGAATCTTCAACAGCCCTGGATTCTGTCAGACATGGGCACTATTTCCTGGGTTTCTGGAGAAAATGGCTGCCATAATCTTTACTGTTTGCATGAACAAAGTCCTTGGGATCAGCTGGTGCTACCTTGCCTTGGCAAGTTTTGGGGAAGGGAAGGGGTTAAATAATCCTCTTCTCCAATAGTGAGAGCTCTTAATTCCCTTTCCACATTTTACTTCCTGCCACTGGTTCAGAGAGGTTAAAACAAACATTACTCATGCCCTGCTTACTGTTGTCATGGCCAACATCAACAAAACTTTGGAATTGAGTTTGTCTGTGTGGAAGGCCTAATATGACCTACAGAGGTGTAGCCCAGTAGACTCAGGAAAGGTGAGAAAAGTTCAGATTCTACGCTAACAGTTTGACTTGTGGAGCAATATAAGCAAGTCCCTAGAACTCAGCTTTAGTTACTTTCTATGTCGCAAGTGTATTGCAGTGATTAACTGCTGCGGAATACAACAAACAATAGTGCTATTGTTGATTTTATGTTGGGGTGCATCACTGACCCTCAACCTCTCTCAAGGCTCCAAATGCATTAATAACTTCAGCCTGCAACAAGAAGCACATTTGACCTGTAGATTCTCACCGTATGCTTCTGTCGCATCAGTCTTTCCCATATCTTTCCATAAGGTGTTTGTGGCAGAGTTAGGGTGGATCATGACCCAGTTGTGAGCTGGAGACAGTGGTGTATGCAGAGGGTGCAATTAAGCAAAGTAAGCTGTCGCTAAGTCCCAGTGAATTCATTGGGACTTAAATATAAGTAGCCCTTTGCAAATATTTTCTGTGCAGCTGGGAAACCTGGAAAATGTGGGATTGCACAGAGCTCTTTATCATGTAAATGATATGTGCAAAGACCTTCCTCAGCTTGGTGTCCTGTAGATGTTTTGATCTATGAAACTCATTTCCCCCAGCTAGTAAGGCCAGTGGATTATGGGTGGGATACAGAGCTTCAGCTGGAGGTCAGAAATGGTAGTCTACAGACATAGTCTCGTCCCCTCACTCCATGCATTGAAGTGCAGATGACTTGAGTGAACATTAATTCAGTTTTCAATGGTTTGTCCATGATTGTCTATTTTGCTGAGTTGCATTCATTTTTATGCCCTGCAATGTACTTGAATGCTAGAATTCCTGTTCATGTGACCCTCTGGGAATTGTGATGTTTTTACATGCTAGTCCTCTGCACCTGGGGGAAGAATGTAGATGACATTGTATTCAAGGTTTAAGCTTCACATTTTAACTTCCCTGCAGTATGGACTATATACCATCTGTGTGTATGACATAGGTTAAGACCATATTTTTGATCTAATTATATGCTTCTCCTTTGTTGTAAGACCTGCTTGTAACTTGGCATTTGGGCAGCTGTTTAAACTTGCTTTGAGAAAACTCCCTTGATTATATCTATTCAGTCAGTTGAGTGAATGAGTCATAGGGAGGGAAAACGTAATGTATGCTGTGGCAGCTGGCCTATCTGTAGGCAGGTAGGGATGGATGTCCTCATTTTTAAAATAATATTTCATTCCTGGTTTTCATAATACAAGAAATAAACAATAAACATTTTTTTAAAAACCCAAACAGAAGTATACATAAGCTCAGATGAAGTACATTTTTTAAAACTGAATAATTGCATCAAAAAGTTGGGAGAATTGCAGATTTTGAAGGATTGCTGTACTGGTGCATTTCAAATTAGTTCACTTTAAAATGTGAACCAAACAATTCCTCCCCCATCTATCCTATCAGCAGGGAGTGCAACACCAAATGTTTCCTTCTAGTACTTCACTGTAGTACAGCTGACAACTGAAGCATGATTCTTTAAAGCATCTCATTGCATTAGATGGCCACCTCAGTGTTTCTTATGGCAGCAGGATACTAACACTGTACTATTTTCACAGTGGAAAGGTGAAATCCAGGAGTTTTGTCCCAACACCAAGATGCTTCTGGTTGGCTGCAAGTCTGACCTGCGCACAGATGTTAGTACACTAGTAGAGCTGTCCAATCACAGGCAAACACCAGTATCTTATGATCAGGTAAGTGCCATGTCGTGTTTTGCTTGTTAATGAATGATGCACACTTCTGACTTGATTCATTCAAATCCTCCTTGGGGCACAGTGCTGCAAAGAGTGTTGGTTATATTACACCACTTTTCATCACTGCTGGTGATCAGCAGTTGGGATCTGTACTTTTCTTATATCAGATGCTGTATGCTACTGACTTAAGGGGTTGCAGGTCACTGGTAGAGCCTATGTTTCTTAAGCAAACAGTTCAGTCATTAGCATCTCCAGCTAAGGCTGGGAAGGGCATCTCTCTAAAACCCTGCTAAGCCACTGCCAGTCAGTTCAGACCATTCTACCTGGCATCCTGCAGATGCTTATCCACATGTCTTGGACCATAACTCCCATCATTCCTGCCCATTGGCCATTCTGGCTGGGGCTGATGGGAGTTGTAGTCTAAGATTTCTGGAGGACACCATGTTGGCACAGCCCAGTGTGGACGATACTGCGCTAGATAGATCAGTGGTCTAAGTCAGTTTAAGGCATCTTTCAATGTTCCTGTGACTCAGTCAAGATGAGGAAAGTGGGTGCCGAGTAGTGCTAGTGTTGTTGCATAGTCCCACTTCATACTTGGCATTGCATCAGGCTGATGAAGAAAGTGCCTCTCCTCATTAGTGGGGAGTCCATAATTCTCCCCAGTAAGGAAATAGGGAGCACTAGACACAGCATACCCTGCAGTTTATGCTCCATCCACATTTGTCTGTATTCTGCTCCTCTTCCCCCCATTTCCTATGTTGTTCAATCTGGATAACTAAGCCGACCATAGGTCCACGTGGCTTTAATGTGTTCTGCACTCTCTCTCTCTCTGGAGAGGAAGAGTGCAACCTTTGTTTCCTTTTGTATTGGTAAGCAATAAAACAGAACTGCTCCTTTTCTTTGAAAAGAACCGCTGCGAGTGTGTATACCTCTTCAAACTTGAAACTGGACATTTATGTAAAAGTAATTGCATGCCTTCCTCTCACCAAGGGATTATGACATGAAAACTACATAGTATTTTGTAAAGCTCCATAAACATCAGTCCTGTGTAAGACCAACAATCTGCCCACTTCTAAGGCACACTTAACTGGAAGAAAATTCCATTGAAATTGGTGAGGTTTACTTCAAAGTAAATTTGGCTGGATTCCTTTGGGCTTCAGTGTCCCATTTCTTCACAGTGTCCCTGTTTTTGATAGATTTGTCTAATTGTATAGAATGTTATGGGCTCCCCCCTTTTCTTTTTTACATCTCACAAGGATTGTGCACTTTAATGTCAAGTGACAACTGGACCCAACTGGGTTGGGACTGCTGATTGTCTTAGATCTGTCAGCAGCCTTTGATATGGTTGATCATGATCTTCTGGACCACCGCCTCGCCGATGTGGGGATACAGGGCACAGCCCAACAATGGCTGTGCTCTTTTATCTCTGGTCGGGCACAGAGGGTGGCGCTAGGGAGGGAGATGTTGTTCATGCTTGTTGAAGCTGTTGGGTTTTGGAGTCCAACTGCATTAGAGCACCACAGAATAGGCCATCCCTAGAATAGGGACAAGAAAGACCACAGTGTCTTTCTCTTTTGGGTGGTGGCTTCCAAGTAATAGTCATGATTCAAGGCTTTTCTGGTACGTTCCATCGCTGCAGACGTTGGCCTCCAAGGGCTGCATTTTTGTAGATTATAAATAATGTTTTTCTGTAATATATGAAGCAGGATTACTCCTCCATTCTCCTCTTCAGTGGTTTCCAACAAAATGTTTTTGACTTTACTCACTGGGAATTAATTGACTAGTACAATCCAAAACCCTCTGATTGCCACTTCAGTCATTAGCAGACAGGCTGTTTAATTAATGTTGACTGAGTCTCCTATCCCCATTTTTCCCCTCCCTCCCCTCCATTAAAAAGTTTGCACAAGGCTGTGTGTCTGAGGATTGCTCCTGTCCCCAAAATTCCAACTGCTTCTCTGAACAGCCAGTAGCCTATGGTTTCTGGAAGTCTTCCAAATCATCTCAGTTTGACAGGATGTAGTACAGTGACAAAGTACACGAGGCATTTCCTAATGTCAGTGGCAAACCTTTTGTTTGTACAGCCTCAATCTTTAGACAGTCCAAGTTCTAGTTAAGCGGCGTTTTCCCCAAAACTCTGGTGCTACACAGGAAATCCCTGTAGCATTTTGTTTTTCTCTTATCTTTGAAAGAGCTTGTATCTAGAACTGCAGTGGGTGACTTCCTTATCTATGCTTTAAAAGCTTTTGGTAATTTTGTGCGGTGGTAAATAGCAAGGTGGGACTAGAATGCTTGATTTGTATGGTAAACAGGGTTCCCCTCCCCCAAGTTTAATCCTATTGATTTAGAAAAAGAGTTGAACGTTTTGACTGACAAATAACTTTTCCCTTGATGCACCTGCACCATGTTCTCTAGGCACACACTTTAATTCTAGCCATGTTTATCTGGAAGTCAGCCCTATTGATTTCAAGGTCAAACTATTCTGTATGCTTGCCTCTGGCATAAAACTGGCCCTGCTTAGAGATGGAACAGATGCCATCTGATGTTTGAAACCCTGCAGCTAGCATAGACTTCTAGTTTCTGAAGGGCTCCAGTCTGTTGCTTTAAGGGAGCTTAGAGACTGAATTCAGTGGGGTCACCTGACGCCATATGGCTGGATTTTTCTCTTCTGCAACTAGGTGGGGGTTTCTTAAAGTCAACTACTGTAGGTCAGAATCTGAACACATTAAACTATTCAACCTGTGTTTGGGGGGGGATGGCAGACACCCAAACCTAAAACTCTACTTTATCTACTGCATAAGCAGTGGTTTGAACCACAACAGATAAGGCAAAGTAGCCTCCTTGGCAAGGGAAGTCCTTGCAAACTCCTTAACCCACTGAAGGTCAAAGTGCCACAAAGATCTGGTCTGTGTAAGGAGTTGTTGCTGGTCTTGCATTCCCACACATACTATCTCTGCTAGAGGGAATTATTGTCCTCATCTCTGGAAATTTCCAGAGGTGTGAATGACCTTGCATGAGATCTGCTGGTGGGGCGGGTTAGCAGGAACACCAGCCTAGGATTGCTAATGGCCACAAAAACACAACACCAGACCATTGACCTAAATTTATGAATTGCTGTGGCTAGAGAACCCTGACATCCATGTGGGTTAGGGCTTGTGGGAATTGGAGCCCAACAACATCTGAAGGGCTCCATGTTGGCTACCTCTGCTTGGCCCTACATGCCCTTTCAGGTCAGAAAAAAAGGGTAAATAGATCAGATATATTTTTGCGGCTATGCTTGTACTCCTCAGTTCCTTCCTTGTAAGGCTACTTTGTAAGCTGGGGTTGAGGGTGCTTAAATTGAAGATGCTCTTGGTCTCCATGTCCAATGCAGAAAGTCTTTAAAACTGGTGTGCCCAATAATCTGCAAGTTCTAGGTTGCTTTCTGTATTTATAAGGACAGTGGATTCTCCTCCTTATTTGCCTGATGTGTTGCCTTTTGTTTCCTCAAAGCATTATCTCTAAAACAGCATCCCAGAGTAATGATTATATGGCTTGTCTTAGTTCTCTCTGGATTTCTGCTGATGCCTGTAATCTAATCTATTCTCCTCTACCTCCACAGGGTGCAAACATGGCCAAGCAGATTGGAGCAGCCACATACATTGAATGTTCAGCCTTGCAGTCAGAAAACAGCGTAAGGGACATTTTCCATGTTGCTACCTTGGCCTGTGTGAACAAAACAAATAAAAATGTTAAGCGGAACAAGTCTCAGAGGGCAACTAAACGAATTTCACACATGCCAGGCCGGCCGGAACTTTCTACAGTCACCACAGATCTGCGAAAGGACAAAGCGAAGAGCTGCACAGTGATGTGAAGGATTTTGTTTCCTTAAATGGAGGTAGCAAGGACAATTGTGTTTGGGTGGGATAGGTGAAGACTCAACGAGAAGTGCCCAGTGAAAATGGTCTCTTGTAAGGGCATGCCAGTGATAAAAGGCGATGATTCACCTTCCGTAGGCAAGAAACTGTACTTGGGGAGCTGGTATGTAGAGGAAGCAGTGGGAAGAGATGGATTCTGAAGGGATGTCAATGTTACTTGGATGAAATACCAAATACGAAGGAAACTATGTGAATGTGCTAAAGAAGTGAAAGGATTGGTAGCACCTGAAGAAATGATGTCCTGGAGGATACTTATTTTTAGATCTATTTTTTGAATACTGACTTTGATTTTGATTACAATCTAAAACGTTGCTTAAAAAAAAAGAAAAGTCAAGATATTCCTATTCCCTTCATTGTGAAGCTTGCCCCTTTGAGACTGTTTGGTTTCCCTCCCCCACCAAAAAAGAGAGAATATGATTGCTTTTCCTCTTGGTTTATGTTAAAGAAATAGGAAATATAGGTCATCCAGAGGAAAACACTTTGTTAAAAGAGGCTTTAAAATCTTTTTTTTCCCCCGAGGCAACTAGAGAAGGAAGAAATTAAAGAAATCAGTAATAAAATAGCCTTCATAAGCTTCTAATTATATGGAATGAAGCTGAAGAAATATCTGTTAAGAGTACGGTAGTTCTCAAACACAGAATCTTCCTCTTCTCCATTGTGACTGTAATGAGAAATTTGATAATGGCCTGAAAGTCAATTTTTTGAATGGCTTCTTCATAAGGCAGTTGTATACTGTATGGACGTCCTGTTGCAAGATCTAAACAAATGGTGCTACGATTTAGTTATAAAAAGGTCCTTAATTAGAAAGGAATTTTAGTCTTACTGCCCTCCTAAGCTGCTCCTTGGGTGCGAAGGAGGCCAAACCCAGCACTGTGTAAGGAAATAAGTGCTGTTCTGCTCTATGACTTTTCTACAATTCTATACTGGGTGTTTTTGTTTTTTGTTTCTCTTTTTTTGTTTCGTTTTTTAAGTTAGCACATGAGCCAACATACCCAATTATCTCTTATTATGATGCATCTCTAAAATGGCTGCATATGGATGACTGTCTCTTATTACACGTTTCTGTTTACTTGTAATGAGCACTCTAAGGAAATAGGGGGAGGAGGAACCTGAAGAACAGCGGAGCCTTTAAGGGGTCCCAAGTGGAAACTGGATATTGCATTAATCCTAAAGGTCTAATGCAAGCATATCCAGACAGTGATCATTAAACATTACTTGTGTGACCCAGATTCTGTCAAATTCCTTTTCACTGACTGATGACTATTGTTACATCCACTAAGCCAATCTTGAAAATAGTTTGCAGATGTTGTTATGCTTCAGCAGACACAGCAGAACTCTGTCGAGGGTGTCTCTAGGACTTGTTGAATGCAAGCATTTTTCTCAAATGCTTCATTTTTGAAGTATTATTTCCACAAAAATTCCAGATATATTGCCACCATGATATGCTTTGGATTGATGCAATGGTATGCTTAAGGCAGTATTAAAAAAAAAGCAAAAAAGCTGGCAAGTGCTTTCTGTATTTAAGTATTGTAAAAAGAAAAATAAGTTAACTGTTTCAGCAAGACACCCCTCACTTTTTAACATATGTCCGTCACTTTGTATGTTTGGTTATTGTTTCTGCAGTATTTATTTTTTTCTTTTAAATAAAAAAATGTTTAGTCGTTGGTAAAATCTCTACTTGTGTGCTGTTCTGTATTGTCCACTGATCGCTTGCATACCTTAGGCTGTAATATAGACCAGCCTGAGGATAAGCCTCTCTGAACATGGTGGGACTACTGAGTAAACATGCTTCTACTTGTAAACATACTCAGGACCTGTGCTATTTGTCTAGAAAACATGGTGCCGGAACCACTGTAATGGCAATGGTGCCCACGTGAGAGGTGCCAGAACTCCGTTCCGGCGAGTTCCCGCTGAAAAAAGCCCTGCTCAAGACATTAGTTTAAATCAATTTCAATTAGCACCCACATCCAGGTTTTGGGAAGGCTCTTGCCGATATATCATTAGCTATGATAAAATGTACAAAGTGCTGAAATAAATGCCACCTCTTTACTATTCCATATTCATTTCATTCCTATTTCTTTCCCCACAGAACCCCCAAAATACATTTTGAAAGCCTGCATTCCCATACATAACCACAAGTTATAACAGTATACGTCTATAACATGGGTAGGCAAACTAAGGCCCGGGGACCGGATCTGGCCCAATTGCCTTCTAAATCCGGCCCGTGGACGGCCTGGGAATCAGCATGTTTTTACATGAGTAAAATGTGTCCTTTATTTAAAATGCATCTCTGGGTTATTTGCGGGGCATAGGAATTCTTTCATTTTTTCTTCAAAATATAGTCCGCCCCCCCACAAGGTCTGAGGGACAGTGACTGGCCCCCTGCTGAAAACGTTTGCTGACCCCTGATCTATAAACTATTCCATGAACCAAAAGTTAGTATAAACCTTTGGAACTGGTTTTTGGTTTTCTGGAGAATCCGTAAACAAAATGCAGCTCCACCATTCTCCCACAGAAGGTATCTTTGTGTTTTGTTCCTCTTCCCAGTCTCAATTTGTTAGTATTCCCCCCCCCCCCACACTCTCTTGTACCAAGCACTCAAGTTTGACCTTTTCAGTCCTTTCAAAGTGTGGCTATAATAATATGTGCAGCCTGGAACAGAAATCCAATTACTGTGGTACCTCGGGTTACATACGCTTCAGGTTACAGACTCCGCTAACCCAGAAATAGCGCTTCAGGTTAAGAACTTTGCTTCAGGATAAGAACAGAAATTGTGCTCCGGTGGCGCGGTGGCAGCAGGAGGCCCCATTAGCTAAAGTGGTGCTTCAGGTTAAGAACATTTCAGGTTAAGAACGGACCTCCGGAATGAATTAAGTACGTAACCCGAGGTACCACTATAGTAGTTTACCAGGTCCTGATTCTCATTTTAATAGATTCAGTAATGCAAACTCTGAAGATTTTGTGACATGCTGATATGTAATTTTACTTATCTCCTTAAACATTTGTTCTCCAATATTTGCCACCTTTGGGCATGTCCACCACAAGTGCCTATAGTTGCCTCTCTCCACTATTCCATTTTCCAATTAGTGACATCCCAAAGTGTTTCACCCGGAATTGAAAAAGGCTTCCCCATACAGTAATTCCCACTGTACAGTATTGATACAGTTTTCCAGGACAGGAGTGTTACAGCCCGATCCAATGCATGTTTACTCTGAAGTTTTTCTCACTGTGCTCAGTGAGCCATCTGAGCTTAGGAATTCAGCTGCAGAATTTGTGTTGGAAAAGTGATGTAAGAAGTGATACAGATCCGGAGTACAATTATGGATGCCTTTGTAGTCTGCCCTTAAAACCCTTGGGAGTTGTGTCCAGCTGTGTCCTTCCATGCACAGAAAGCTCTGACTGGATTAGAGAAGATGTAATGTTCACAGGTGTCTTCCCCCCTCCCACTTCCGCCTCTAGCTCCCTGCACCTCCCTTTGGAACATGGTGGCAAGTGGAGCAGAAGGAGGTGCTCAATAAAGAAGGAAATTTGCTACAATTTCTCATTTCCTCCTGTACCCATTAATCAAAGCACCTTCCATAAGCAGAAGGGCACAACTGAGCCCATTCATTCTCAACAGAAACATGCAAGTAGCTTGGGATGGTTATCAAAGCTGACCTTGCAAAAGTTACATTATATAGGGGTGCAAAGACGAAGGGAATAAACTCTACGCCAGGATTTGCTGCAGAACTGAAAGATTTTTAGAAAGATTGGCATCTGTAGCTGTAAATCTCAGTTTCATGCATCACCTTTTCTACGTCCCTCGCTCATACTTGCTCAATCAATGTATTGATTCAGCTAGAGTCTTTTATTCATTATTTGTGTTTATACCTTGCTGCATAGCATGAAAGTGTTCAGTACCGATTCAGTGCTTATAACTATCGGTCATAACAATATAAAACAGGGAGGTGGACATTGTAGAATGAACGAGGTGAGAAATGAAACAAAAATTTATCAAGCATCGACTGCCAGCTTAATTAAAACCTGGCAGTCGATCCAGGAAATGAAAAAATTGCTAAATTTCACTTAACCCAGTTAGATGCCTATCAATCCATCATACCACTTTCTATTTTACTTTTTTTAAAGTAGTTATTAACTGTAACAAAGGAAACATGCAAAAATTAAAATTAATTGAAACAAGCTTCTGCAGTATAATATTTTGCATTTGATTCATAACATTTGGATAATGTTCTTGAGAAGGAAGCGACTCAATATTGTGAGATCCTTATTACAAAACAAAAAGAAAAGCTATCTTTGGACTTTGCCCAATTGGTACCTTTTTTAAAACGACAACAACAACAGATCAGCAAGATATATTGAATACTTCGTATCAATAAATAATTAGATACATAACAGGGAAGATACTCAACCACCTTGAGTCCACACAGTAGTAGAGACATAGGTTGTGTGGTAGCTGCACTGATCTATGTTCAAGAACTGCTGGCAAAGGCATTGATTGGAACCTAAGAGTGAGTTCCTCAAGCAAAACATCTAGCATCAAAACCTAGCCCTCTAGGTTTGAATCAAAAGTGGCTTGCTAGGTGGGCCAGCCCCATTCCAGCATGTTTATGCCACAACATCTTTCCCACCACATCACTCCTCTTGTGGTAAGCCACAGTGATCCACCTGCCAGGAAGCTAAAAAATGACTCCACCCCAACTGGTGAGCCATTTCTTCTGGCCTGGATTATGCCATATTTAAATGCATTGTACAGTGGACTTTACCTAGTTAATTTGTCTGAAATGCTATGCATTTACGCCTGTATGCTGCAGAAGGATATTGTTACAGAATCCACTGAAAACGTCCCATGCAGAGAAATGACGGAGTCTTCTAGTTTGCTATGATGCTGGAAGGAGAATGTTGAAACTAGACTTAATAAAGCCTTTCTAATTTCTATATTTTAATTCAATGGCTCCGAATTACAGGAGAAAGAGAGAGAGATCAACTGTTGGGGGTTAATTCTGCAGATTTCAATAGACTTTACTTTTAAGGAAGCAGCTGGCATCAGAAATGTACAGCCTAATTCTTCTGGGTACAGTAGTATTAAACAAACTCCTAGATTATTCAGTGGTTGAGTGTTTTGCCAGGATATCTTGCCAATGCAGTATTGTGGGCTGGCATGGTTGCAGCGGCAACAGCCTCCAATGCCAGATGCTGTGTCAGGTAGAGCAGCTGCATTGTACTAAATAAATAGCAACCATTTATAATGGGACTGCAGCTGACAGGTAAGCACAGCTGGTCAGACGTTGTTTCACTTACTGATCACAGGATGCCTCTAGCTAAGTCAGCACACAACACCCTGCTGCTAGAAGAGTCTATTTGATCAAATGGTGGGAAGCATTTTGGTAAACCTTCCTCTTGAATCCCACTGTGGGCACTGGAGCCAAATGTGGCCACTTTCAACTTGTTAATCAACTCTTTCCCTGACTTTTGAGTATCTGTATGCCTATATGTGTTGTATTGCCAACCTAGCAGTTCGAAAGCACGTCCAAGTTCAATTAGATAAATAGGTACCGCTCTGGCGGGAAGTTAAAGGCGTTTCCGTGCGCTGCTCTGGTTCGCCAGAAGCGGCTTAGTCATGCTGGCCACATGACCCGGAAGCTGTACGCTGGCTCCCTCGGCCAATAAAGCGAGATGAGCGCCGCAACCCCAGAGTCGGCCACGACTGGACCTAATGGTCAGGGGTCCCTTTACCCTTTACCTACATGTTGTATTATCAGGCTTAACTACATGGGGCACTAAGTTAATCTCTCCCAAGCACATCATGGTTTTAAATTTTTGTGTATAGGTGAGGGGACAATTTTTGTTGGGAACGCATCATTCAGGAAGGGAAGTTTTAACCTTTCCTCCACCCCCACACAATTCAAGAAGTGTCACTGCTCTCCACACACCCATACTGTCCAGGTAGGCTTTGAAAAAACAAGCTCCCATAGCACTAAATAGCATACATATAACTCCAATGATCTGGTCCCAATCTGGATCACATGCATACACACCATGCTGGTAAGTTGTGCTTAAAAGTCCCTGTGCACTGAAAGACAAAGTGCTAACTTTTCCTCTAGTTGGCCCCTAACAGGAGAAACTGGCCAAATGGAGACATTTAAAGGGCAGGAGGAAGTGTAATTTTGCCTGAGGGGAAAGAGGGAACATGTGAAAATTTACAGGAGGATGCAGAAGGCTTGGAGGCTGGTAGGATATCAGCAGGGAAAGATTGCCAAGAAGAGGAAGAGAACCCTATTGCTTCTTCAGCTAGTTCACAGAAGAATTTGGTGTTAAAGTTTTAAAGATGCTGTGCTTAAGCAAAAGTTACTTAAGAGGAAGGCTCCATCTGCATGACACTTTTAAAGACACATACCACTTTGAATAGTCACAGCTTCCCCCAAAGAACTCTGAGAAACTGTTTGTTAAGGGAGCTGAGAATTGTTAAGAGGCCCCTATTTCCCTCACAGAGCTACAATTCTGAGTAGTTTAAGTCAATCTCTCTTCCTAGGGAATGCTGGGAATTATTACGAGGGGAATAGGAGTCATTTATTTATTTAAAAGTGTTTATAAAGGGCTTACTGTTTCAAAAATAAGTGGTGTATAGTCTAAAAGGCAAACAACATGCCATTAAAACTAAATCACAGACTAAAGCTGAAACAAGCATGTTATGATGACAATAACAACAATATAGATATTTCAACTTCCTGAAATTACCCAACTGTTTTTTGATGTTCCTGATTTGGCTAAACTGCTCTCAAAATCTCCTAGTGGTTACAGATGACTGAAGCAGCAGATGAAGAAATGAATTTCTTAAAACAAAATAAACAAGCTGAAAAACCCAGAAATGCTTTCATTCAGCTGGTGAATGAAGCAAGGGCAGTGTCAAATGTGGCTTTATTATTATTATTACGGGTATTTCTCTACAACCAGGCTTACCTGAAGTGTAAGCTCTGATAGTTTATCCCCATGCACCCTGCCGCTGGACTGCCTGGTTAATTTCTGGAAAATCTATTTTTAGGAAAGGGGGAAAGGAGC